AAGGCTAGAGGGGGTTCCTCCGGGCTCTTTGAATTTGATTACCCATAAAGTTATTTTCCATCCTGATTTTACAGAGATGATTTTTACCTTTCGTTCTTTAATTAAAAGCCTTCTTTTTAAGAACCTGATTGATTTTTTCTTGTTTTAAGATCCAAGGGGATTGGAGCTAGACTCACCAGGAATTGGTGGGGGGAAAAGGGAAGGGAGGGAATGATTAATTCCTCCTTGTTTTAAGATCCAAGGGGTTTGGATCAGTGTTCACCAGGGAATTGGTGGAGGAGTCTCTCAGACTAACCAGGGAGGGAAAGGTTTTTTGGGGGGGAAGACAGAGTTTCCCAAATAACTAATAAATCATTTGGGTGGTGGCAGCAAAAGCAGATCTAAGCTGGTAGTTAAGCTTAAAGGTTTTCACGCAGGTCCCCACATCTGTACCCTAAAGTTCAGAGTGGGGAAGAAACCTTGACAACCACCTTGAAGAAGAATTTCCGGACAAACATACCAGGATCTGTATGACATCTCCGAGAGAGGTCGATGATATTTTCTGGACAGATGGTTTAAACGTGGAAGGGGTGGAGTGGGGACGCGACAGGGACCGGGGAGGTGGTCCAAGTACCCAGGGAAAAGAGGGGAAGTTGGCGCCGATGCTTGCTAGCATGGATGTCACGTCGCGATACACCAATGATAACGTAGCTGCCTGCCTCAAATATTGACATAGATTTCCACCACAACTCCAGCAACTCCCACCCAGCCATTAAACTGTCTCTGTGACCCTCCCACACCACTTCCTGGCCCAAACTGCCCACGGCAGCAGGGGCTCCGCGGAGACAGGCCTGGGCGGGCATGTGACGCGCCGTGAAGGCGGAAGGGCCCGAAAGGAGGCGCTGACCACAGACGGGGTGACACGTGCTTGGGGCGCGAGCCAGACTCCGTTGTGACCAGGTTTCAGCTGATGGGGATCACGTTATTCAGAGCTCTGGCGGAGACCTTTTCTCGGGACCGCCCGGGCCCCGCTCCCCACTGCCATGCGC